ACAAGCAAAAGACCTCAACTGGGAGAAGGTGAGAGCCTTCATGGCCTCAGAGGGACAAGTGGCAGGACTCACTCACGCCGTGTTCATTAAAATATCAGCTAACCTAATGGATAAACTGGGCGTGGCACCGGGCGGAGAGTTTCGAATGGGTTTCCAAGAAGGAACTAAAGTTGGTAGTACTATATTACTGGGTGATCGCTCCATCAGGATGACTTTTAAAAGAGCTTTGAGGGCGTTACCAATCTGGCAACAGTTGAGGCTGTTCTATATGCTGTTCACTTCTGTGGCTTTTGATTTGGATATATCACCGGAGGATATCGAGAAGATGAAGAACTCTGACATGGTGGAGATGCTAACAGGTACAGTGTACATGTACATGTACTTGTATATAGTGTACAGCATAAATGTATGACAATTTTTTGTGGATGAATTTTTTAAAATTTTTGATGATAATCTGTGGGAATATTATCCACAAAGACAAAACACAAGTCTATTTGCAAAGTATTTATTCCATTAAAGCGTGTATTTATTTACATTGTATATTGTTAGTGCAATGTATTTCTGGTGTTTGTTATCATTATTATTATGTGAAAAAAGCATATGTACATGTACATGCATAAGCAATAAAAAATAAAAAGTACAAAGTACAATTTTCATATAATAATTATGTTTTTCCCTTTCTCTCCTCTCTCTCTCTCTTTTTCTAATAATTTTTCTTAAATTCTCTCTTCCTCACATCAACACAATCCTCTCCCTCTCCTTCCCTCCTATCATCAGGTGAGCTAGCTGCTGAGCTCCCAGCTTTATCTCACGTATTTGTGAATGAGAGGGACCTTGTCCTTGCTAACTCACTAATGGCCGCCGCTAACTGTCTTATCGAACCATACGCTCCTCCTGTGACCATAGTGGGGATAGTCGGGATAGGACATGTTAATGGTATCAAGGAGCACTGGATGAAAGAGGAAGCTCGTGATATTAGTAAACTATTGACTCTATCTCCTCCTCACTGGAGTAGTAGGATATTCTGGACTTATGTGCAGTTTTCTTTAGTGTCACTCGTTAATGTGGGCCTCTATTGGTTTGGTAGGTCTTGTCTTAGAGCTGCTGTAAGGAAGTTGACTTCTAGTACTTAGAATAATTATTGTATTTTATGAAGAGCATTTTATCCACCTCCTCTATATAATGAGAGTATTATTATTGCTATTATTGTATTATATATACTCTTATAATTTTTCCTTCACAAAAAGTATCTTTATTAATAATTATAAATAAATTTAAACTTCTATATACAAATTTATTTCATTGGTCGGTTTGCTATATGTCACGTGACCAAACGTTGTTGTTGTTGTAGTTTTGTTATTATTTGTGTTGCTACTGGCACAAACTCGTTAGTCCATAGTCTATCAGAAACATCATCTGTCACCTCTTCCTCCTCCTCGTCATTCATGCAATCAAAGAATGCTGTAGCTGGATCTAGAGAGAGGGATAAAGAAAAGGAGAGAGAGAGAGAGAGGAGGAGGAGGGAGAAAGAGAGGGGGAGGGAGAGAGAGGGGGGAGGGAGAGAGAGAGGGGGAGGGAAGGAGAGAGAGGGAGGGAAGGAGAGAGGAAGGGGGAGAAAGTTAAGGGTTTGTTTGAGTGAGGATCAAGGTGTAAAAATGCTGTAAATGCATGGCGCAAAATCAATGTACAATGTTACCTAAATATTCCTCCAGTAAATGAAACAAGGTAATCACTTCCTCTTCAGTATAATGTTCATTAATGTTAGTCATTCCTTCGCTATTAATAGAATAAGGATACGATAATTAATATTTAATGATTATATATGTACATGTAAAATAATGATGTACATGTAAAATAATGATGTACATGTATGTATTGAACATGTACCTATAGTTCCACAGTACTTTACATGCTAGACTTGATAGTAGCCAGTCTTGTCTACTGAAATGACTTAAAACATCTAATAACCTGAAAATAATAAAAATGGAATAATAATAAAGTTAATGTACACGTACATATGCACATGAAATTACTCTTTCCCCTCTCTCTCCCTCTCTTTTCTCTCTTACTTTTTCACTCCATTATTATTCTTAAATACATGTATACATTGTCCTCCAGGCTCCATTGTCACATTAACCAGTACACCACACACAGCATAGACCAGCTCAACGTGCTTTGAATCTAATAACGTCAACAATATCTCATCAACTATGAGGGAGGGAGAGAGAGAAATTTTTTAATTAAAAAACACTTCCTGAAAAATTACAAGCTGCTTGTTAACACCTCAAGGTGTGAATTTGAGGTGTTAACAAGTAGCTTGTGAAATTTAGCTTGTAAATTGCAGGTTTATTTCTTACTTCTCATGTCTGATATTAAATCTCTCACTGATTTATCTCTGGTGAGATTACCCAGTACTCGTATTGACTCCAACATTACACTCTGACTATCAGGAACCAAATACTGTAATATGACTAGTAAAGAATAACATAGGAGATTATAGAGAGTTACAATTCATACCACAACTACATGTACATGTATATCTAATATGTACCGTACAGCTGGTTTATTTCGTGTGGAATTAATTTTCGTGCAGGCTCAAATCCACTAAAATTAATTCCACTAAATTTTATTAAAACCAATTAAATGTTAACAAAAATTTAGCAAAGCACTAAAATTAATTCTAATGAAAATTTAAGCAACAAAAATTTGAGGCCACAAAATAAACCAGCTATACGGTACTTTACTACATGTAAAGAACTAAGATAAAAGTGTTACTATAGTTTGTAGTAGGGGTAGGGGACCCCATTCAAAAATTGTTACCCAGAGGTAAAGTTATTCTCAATGATAAGATAATGAATGAAGAAAATAGCTCCGTTTTATACTCAATTAATTGTAAAAGATCTCATGGGTTGTCTCCCAATGTGGTTAACACTCTTGTACTTGTATAAACTGTCAATGACTGAGTCATGAATATCTTATTGCAATTCTGCACTGACAGATACTGGACAGTGTATCTATGTATTTATAAAACACCAAGCAAAAAAGCTACAAATAGAAATGGCAGTGCACATGGGTGACATGGCTATATATCCATGGGTATGAACATACATTTACATATATAATGTACATGTATACATGTTACATTATAATAATTACTTTGTATTAATTGTTGCTTATATTGTAGAACTGCATCTTGTGAATGGAATGATAGATTGTTAATAGCTGTCAATGTATTGACTGTTAGCTCCTCACTACTGGTATCACTTAATTCTGTAGGAAATTAAATAAATAAACAAAGCATATCTATTATTAATATTGTACCTAGTATAGCTATTAATTGGTTCATTATTTCTTGGTTAGTGTTCACTTCGTTAGCAAAACTTGAATGAACTGACATATTAGCAATTAGACTCACAGACTAAGAGAAATAATGAGAGAAAATATCACATTCAAGTACATGTATACATATATGTACATAAATGTGTACAATTTAGAATGTTGAATATTAACTTGCAAGTTTTAATTTAAAAATTCTTCTTTTGTGAGGATACTTTGCTAATTTAATTATTAATGATATACATTAATAATTTTGTTAATTTTTACAATTTATGTTAGACGAAAAATTAAAAACATATCACATACATGCATCAGCTAGTGTACCTTTATCAACACATCAATAGTTTTAGTACTATCTCCTTCTTCTCTTCCTCCATCAGATAATGATTGAGTATAATGATTCAGTAATAGTTCCAATGCCTTTATTAATGACTGGTCAGTATATACTGATGCATTGCTAGCCACTGTTGATATGTTACTTAATATGAAACACACTCTCAATACAATATCCTATTAAAAGACGTGGTTTAAATACAAGAAATCATAAATGAAAAATTAACAATTAATTTTTATTACTTTTAACAGTACCTAAAGCATATTATATTTACATACATGTACATGTACATGTACTTGAACTTAATTACATGTAAGTACATGTACATTTACAGTATTATATTATAATTATTATGGTATACCTACCTCTTGTTGTATGTGAGTGGTCAGTGCAGTTGGTAGTAATGAAGTGCATAGTTTGATCTCTCCAATAGCTGTACAACACCTGTCCACTAATGAGAGCTTACTAAAAATTTAAAAAATTAAAAAAAACAAAGAGAAAAAATCAATTAGCAACACCAAGAGTACATGTACATAAGGGTTTGTACTCTTAGCAAAACCAATTATTGCATGTGAATAATGTACATGTACTCATAATAAACTACATGTACACGTACATCTATTGTACACAGTACGTACCTCAGTAGTCTTGATATATTGAAGACTAGTTCAGTGTTATTGATGTGTTGTTGCAGTATCAGTGATATGTAGAGAGGAATGGAGTGAGCGAGGAACTGATCATATACTACCACTGAATCAGAGAGATTGCGTAACCCTGATATTAACTAAAGGAGGGAGAGAGGGAGAGAGGGATGTTAAAAATTAAAAATAAATTCACACATTACATTGTACATGTACATGCATGTACACAATGTACATTTCTTAATAATTTACCTGCACTAGTACATCAGCAGTCCTCACACTGTTAGTATCATTAGAGACAACAATCTAAAGTACAATAATTATCAATACACATGTACAGCTTACATGTACACGTATAATTATTTGTAATAAGTTATTTACTACGCATGTACATTACCTGATGCATATACATGTACTTAATGTTGCATAGAAGGTTTGAGCTGATTCCAATCAAAATTAGATTTTTTATGAATTTTTTAAATTGCTCCAAAATTGGGCCAAAGTTCCTGTACTATAGTACAGTGTCACCGGCCAAATTTCACCAAAAATGACTAAGAGAAAATCTGCCAATTTTATAACTTTTCCTGATACATATACATGTTCTTATGTTGCATAGAAAGTTTGCACTGATTCTGATCAAAATTGGATTTTTTATGAATTTTCAAAATTGCTCCAAAATGGGGCCAAAGTTCCTGTATAGGGTTACCAGCCAAATTTCACCAAAAATGATGAGGAGAAAATCTGCCATTTTTATAATTTTTCCTGATACATATACATGCTTATATGTTGCATAGAAAGTTTGAGCTGATTTCGATCAAAATTGGATTTTTTATGAATTTTCTGAATTGCTCCAAAATTGGGCTAAAGTTCCTGTGCTATAGTACAGTGTCACCAGCAAAATTTCACCAAAAATGACAAGGAGAAAATCTGCCATTTTAATCATTTTTCCTGATACATATACATGTTCTTATGTTGCATAGAAAGTTTGAGCTGATTCCGATCAAAATTGGATTTTTTATGAATTTTTAAAGTTGCTCAAAAATCAGATCTGCCAAATTTTGCCAAAAATGGCAAGGAAAAAATTATCCTACTATTGCATGTACATGTGTACATGTATATATGATACATGTACATGTACATGTACATATTAAACCCACTTCAGTGCATTTCTTCAAGCAGTGAGCTATGGTTTCAATGCAGTTGTGTTGAATTAGCTCATCACGTAGCTGTGGGTTACTAGCTAAGAGTTTAATGGATCCTAACAGATACACTAACGTATCATGATGAACTACTGGATCAATCGAGGAGAGGACACTGAGAATATGAACTAGAAAAGAAAAGAAAATTATTATTGAAATTTAAAATAAATATAAATCAAGTCTATTTTAATCGTGTGCAAAATCTATTACTAGATCTAACAATGTACATGCATACATGTGCATATGCTTGGTCGCCTTACTTTACATGTATATGTACGTTTACATGTACATACATGTATTAAGTGTGCTGTTAGTGCGTATTTTATTTACTTGTAATGTTTTCTTTACAAAATAGTTGATCATTATTTTCATCTCTGCTTAATGAGAAGATCAGTTTACTGACATTAAGTAAATTGCTACCAGTCACTTGCAACTATTGAAAATAAAAAAGTATGTATACATGTACATGTACATAGTACTACAGTATACAATGATTTTAGCAATATTCTTTTGCTTGCAAAATTTCTAGTTTTTACAAAAAATGTGGTAGCTAAACAATTTTAAAAATTTATATTAATTGCAAGAAGCCAAGTACAAAATTGACAGTCATTTTGTGAAATTTTTATTCGGTGACAATTATGCCATGTACAGTATACATGCACATTATTTTACTTGTACGTGTATTTCAAATTTTCTCTCACTCCCTTATTTCTTACAGCTAATATTATTTTAGCTAGTATCAGTAGTAGTTTTGGTTCCTTGTGTCCCAGTAAAGCAAACAAACTCTTCAATAATGCACTTCTCCTCTTTCCTCCTAATCCTTTACCAAGTAATGAGTGCTTCTCCAATAGTACCCACACTTCAGTACATGCATCAATGAGCAGTGAATCACTACTACTGGTAGTAGCCTTTGGGTCTAATCTATCCAGTAATGGTTTTAGTTCAACCTCCCATATTTGTCCTGTGTGTGCTCTTGCTGCTACAGGTTTATCAGTAGGAGCTGTCCTTGCTGTAGTACTTTCTTTAATTTTAGTCTCTTCAGTTTTATTGGTTCTTTCAGTGGCTACATTAGTAAGTGATGAAGTGTCGTTTGTATGATTTTTTCTTTTGCTTGAATCGCCAGAATTGTATCGTTTTGTCTCCATTGCTCCTCTCTCTCTCTCTTTGCCAGCTGATCGAGTTATTCTACTTCTACTGGTTGGTGGTGAGGAGCTACTGGCCTTTAGTTCAGGGAGGGAGGGCTTGGAATGAGGAGGAGGAGGAGGGGAAAGCGATGCTACTGATGGTTGTAGACTGATATCAGTTGATGATGGAGCTGGAGCTTGTGGCAATAATAGATCCTATAATATTTTAATAATAAAAATGCATTCATTTGTTCATTATTTTAAAAGACAAATGATTACTAATGCAAGTACATGTACATTTGATAATTATCAATATCATAAGGATCTATCATTTACAATGTACAATGTACATGTACACTAGGTAATATTATAATGCAAGGTTAATGTACATGAACTATTATACAATATTATTATTTATTATTTACTTCGTTAATGATTGGTGATAGTCTTTGTTTACTGGTGGGACGACTAGTCATTTCTTCATTGTAATACTTACTGGAGCTCATACTAAAAATAGAATAAATACTATAAAATATTTGTTGAGTAAAATTTTGAAAAATTTGGCAAATTGAAGTCTGTTCGCTCAAGTTTTAGTCAGTATCACATGGACTAAATTATTCCAAAATTTTATTTTAATCTCCACCACTCATTTAGTTGATTTGCCAAATTTAACGCTCCAAATTTATAATACAGTACAAGACACTCTACACAGTCCTTACCTAAACACTGAAGGAGGTCTGCCCTCTCTATCAGTTTCATTGCTTCTACTCAGGACGCTCCTTCTATTCCCACTAAACAAGTGTCTCCCATCAGTTGCTGGAGTGAATGGCCTCCTGACTGGTACAGCATGGAGTGATCTTCTTGCTTCATCTATTATCTGAGAGCTGGCTAGGACTTTATCGGGCAGGAGATAAAATGGCGTCTCCTGTGCCTTCCGTTCTCCTCTCTTCTTTACACTACGAGTCGCCATATTGTCTTCACAGGACCAGTTCTTTTGTGGGACTTCAAATCGTGCAGGAAAAATTGCTCTATTATTATGATTCCGTTACCATAGATACGTTAACCACACCCATCTTAATTATTGGTGGGCGTGGTAAATTTAATTTTATTGGTCAAAATGGCGGACAGTAAAAAGTTGCCTTCATCTTCATCCGGTTATTTCTCGTCTTGGTTTCGCTCCATATGCTCTAGAGTGGTTCAGGCCGGCCCCATGCCTAGTCACATTGCTATTATAATGGATGGGAACAGGAGGTACGCCAAGAAATCTAAGCAAGAGAAGTCGTTTGGTCACGTGATGGGATTTGAGAAACTGGTTGAGGTGAGAATTCAAGTAGCTACTAGGATATGATAGTAGCCACTAGCCACTCTGGCATTATTGGATGCTACCTATAATTTTAGCGATAATAATACATGTAGCTATAAATACATGTAGTTATAAATACATGTACACGTGTTGACACGTGTTTAACAGTCTAAATGTGATTATTGTACAACAGCTTCACACGTGTCATTGACTACCAGTATGTAAACTAATTATAGACCACCCTAGGCGTGAATTGGAAAATTTAGGAATTTCATTAATTTTATATACGGTATCTGCCCACACATCATAATTGGTTGCCATTTTGGCTGGCAAGTTTATTATGGAAGTCAATGGAGGCACGAAGGAAATACCTCACTTACCTGCTGTAGCTCTACCAATAGCTAAAAAGTGCTTGTTATAAGAAAGAACAACTGCCTCTAAGCTTCTCCTGTCAAGGATATGGTCAAATTTGCTCCAGAATTCTTAATACAGGTTTGTTTTTATGTCGGCCCGTTTGTTCTCCATTGAAAGTTACCAACCAAAATGGCGGCTGGAATTAATTTCATCCTAAACCACGCCTTACAACCGTAAAAATTTCTAATAATCTTCCTACGCATTCAATTCACGCCTAGGGTGGTCTATAATTAGTTTACATACTGGTAGTCAATGACACGTGTGAAGCTGTTGTACAATAATCACATTTAGACTGTTAAACACGTGTCAACACGTGTACATGTATTTATAACTACATGTATTTATAGCTACATGTATTATTATCGCTAAAATTATAGGTAGCATCCAATAATGCCAGAGTGGCTAGTGGCTACTATCATATCCTAGTAGCTACTTGAATTCTCACCTCAACCAGTTTCTCAAATCCCATCACGTGACCAAACGACTTCTCTTGCTTAGATTTCTTGGCGTACCTCCTGTTCCCATCCATTATAATAGCAATGTGACTA